TATTTTAAATAAGAGCTGAATATTTCCTCAATGCCAGGCCAGTTATCTTCATCTTCTTCAGTTTCTTCAACTATAATTTCTGACTCAGAGCTGGAGAGCTCGCCATTAGGATGTTGTAGCATTGCAGGAAGCATAACATCAAGAACACAAGGCAATGCAGATCTCACAAGTGGCAGGTAAGATTGTGCCGAAGAAGTAGACACTCCATTGATACGAGAAAAAGATAACCCAAGTAATTTATCACAGATAGAAGGAACAGAACTTCGAGATGGAATGCTTGAAGAAAGATCATTTTGTGCTGTAGCCTGTAAGACAAAAGATTCATAAAAATCAGTCAAGGTAAAAAATATGATAAATGTACATTCAAGAAAGTGAAGTAATACTTACTGGGACGGAATTTCGTTTGGTTCTTTTCACAACTTTGCTAAGTGCTTCCCGATAAGCTGAAAGGTACTTGGTCACTTTACATTTACCAGCTCTCCTTGACTTTTCAGCTTCGGAAGCTAGCCAATATGTCTCCGAATCTAGAACAAGTAAATTAAGTTATTAATGTCCCGTTCTGAAATAAAGAAAGACAGGCAAAACTGGCGTATGTGCCTGTATGGACATTCACTAACCTTCCCGTTCCCGTCGGGTAGATGCCTTTAACTCAAGCTCCAGCAAAAACTGAACTTTACTAGAATAGTCAGTGCCACCACAGACAATCTCTGGAGGATGATCCGGCAGCGGAAGTTGAAGCTCGTTTGGTATCTTGCTCACATCACCATCATCATCTTCTACAAGTGCTGATGTTATTTTGCCAGTTCCATTAAGCAGCCTTTGTAATTCTAGGTCTGAGAATGAATGAAAGAAAACAATTAGACAGACATATTGGTATACATGAAAAATAAAGGAGGGTAAATACGTAGATCTTACATTTACGTATGCCAAAGGTGGTAAGACCAAAATAACTTAGGAAATCAAGTTTTTCTGGTTGAGCATCAAGGGGTGCTGGTGGGCCGGATGTTATGAGGATGTCAATTTTTGGGTCATCCCACCACTCCTCAGAGTCTGTGTCAGACTCCTCAGAGAGGTTTGCTCCATCTAGAGCAATGCCATTACTCCCATTGACTGAAGCTACTGGAATGGTGGTTGAGACTGAGACATCATGAGTGCTCGCCAAATCTCGACGAGGCACCAAAATGTCTTGTCGGGATCGAGGCTTGAAGAATCTTGGCTGCTTGTTTTGTCGTGACCCTGTCTCCATGCGCTTCAGCTGCATTTGTTTGCGTCGACGCTCAACCAGGTCCAGACGACTAACCACGTCCTCTTTCTAAAACGAAATCATAGAGAAATCAGTGACACAGAATCAAGAACAGTAAAGCGGCATTTCCCAGTACTTTTGTAGAACTTACCTTTTGAAAATTGTAGTTTTTGCTGACGTGGTTGGCATAGTTTACGGGTTGTGAGGACTGCAGGAGGCTAAGGGCTGTAAGCTGGTGGAGCTGTTTGAGGACGGCGTTGGGTGGTGATGGATTTGCTTCAGTTTCCTCTGCATGCTGAGGTTCCGCTGGTTGAGGCGGTTCGGCTGGTTGAGGTGGTTGAGCCATGGTGGGGCTAACGATGGCGGAGACCCTGGGGCAGGTCGGATCAGACGGGTCGGCCTGAGTAGAAGTTTTGCCAGGCTCAATGCGTGGGGTGCAGGACAGCAGGCTGCCAATGGTAAGGGCGGCCGCCTGGCTGGCTGTAGTTGAGACAGACTCGATGGAGGAGACACAAGTCGTCAGGGAGGTGGCGGTACTGGAGGAGAACATGAGCTTGCTGGTGGACATTATGACAGACGTGGTGGCTGAGCTAAGGGGTAGCGATGAGGTAGACGAGGTTGTGAATGAGGGTGGGGACGGGCTGTGTGTGGGGGGACATTCTTTGGCGTCCGCCGCCTCGGGCTTCTCCTCCTCTTGGAAGGGTCGCATCAGGGCGTGTGACTTGGGGCGCGGGGGCTGACTAGATGGCTGAGGTGGCTGAGGTACTAAGGTTGTTGGTGAGGGTGGGGGTGACGAAGGCAGAGGCGCCTCGGCGACGATCTCTGAGCGCGGGTTGTGGACGGAGGCGAGGCCACCGCTCGTCTCGGCGGGCGTGACAAAGGAAGCCGTCGTGGAGGTCGGCGCGGAGTAGGCGCTGCCCAGCATGGTGAGCGGGATGGACACGGGCACAGAGTGCACGCTGGGGCACGGCGCCGCTATCACAGTCGGCGCCGACGCCAGGGCGGCAGGGGCGAACGGCGACGGCGACGTGGCGCACGCCTCCACCGGCGACGCCGACAAGGGTGGCGTGAGGTTTGCGCCCAGCGCCGACATCGTGGTGGTTGCACCAATCGTGGCGGTGGTCGCCGAAGACGCGGCGCTTACCACGAAGGCTGGTGAGTAGGACGTCGACGTCAGGGGCAGTGAGGATGAGAGTGTTCGAAGTAACTGGGTGCTGGGCGCGCTTAGTGGCGCTGCTGATGCAAGTGGGGAAGCGTTCCCTACAAACGCTGATGTGGGCGATGACGATGCCGTAGACAGGCTGGGCGTGATGACAGCGACAGGTGTAGGCGACGGGGCAGGGCTCGGAGCCTTGACGAGGACCTTGTCGACGTCCTGGGCGTGCGGCTTGGAGGTGGACGGGCCAGCAAGGGTGCTGGGGGCACCCATGGCGGGCGAGGACAGCGGCGTCGTCAGGGTGGAGGTGAGTGAGGTGGCGAAGGAGGACAGGGAGGAGAGAGGGGTAGGGTAGGGCGTGTAGTACGCGTAAGACGAGGTGGTCGCAGCGGTAGGTAGAACGGTGGCGCCCGTGGTGGTCGGCGGCTCAGCTCCAAAGCCCACTACGGTTGGCCTCCTAGCTGGAACAAAGAGCAGACACAACTCTGTGGTGAGTCTCGCCGGCATGCCCAAATGTGGGATGGAGTGGCTCAGGGTGGAACATTACCAGGTTATTCTATTCTTTAAGAGTGAGGTGGCCAGCTGTGCTGCGGCTGACACTCTCACCTGTACTGTCATGGTGTGAGGGAACGGCAACCGAGTGCGAGGGCGACGCCCGTTTGGCCTTGTCGCGCCGCTCCCTCTCCCTGTCCCTCTCGCGCTCTTCCTCCTGCTTCCTCTCCCTCTCCCTCTCGCGCTGCTCGCGCTGCTCTCTGTCTCTCTCACGCTCCCTGTCCTGCTTGTCCTTCTCCTCCTCGCGGAGCCGCTGCAGCCGGTGCTCCTCCTCCAGCTTGAGGCGCTCGGCCGCCATGGCCGGCGACAGCATGCCCAGGTGCGAGGGCAGCACGTCAGGACTCATGCCCGGGTAGCGCAGGCCCTGGAGGCCGGCCTGCAGCCCCGCCGCCTGCAGCCCCGCGGCCTGCAGGCCGTACAGCGCGGCCGCGGGGTAGGACTGGTAGAGAGAGGGCGGCGCGCGCAGCATGCCGCAGCGCTCCAGGTACAGCTGCTCCTCAAGCCTGGCGGGAAAAAGAAAGATAGGTTAGGCTCTGGCTCTGGTGAACACAACCAATATGACAAATCGTCATCCATTCTGTAGAGTTTTACAAAAACCAGTTTTTTTTTTTAATTTAAAAAAATACTGCAATTTAGAAACATGTGATGTTTTGGCTATGTGATGTGACGGCCATGTGATGTGATGTGATGAGATGTGATGTAACGGCCATGTGATGTGATGCTATGTGAGGGCTATGTGATGTGATGAAAATGCTTCAGTTTCCTCACCTGTAGGCTTGCTGCAGGTGCGCGGGGTACAGCGCGTGGTAGGGGTTGTAGCCCAGCGGCGCTCCGGGGTCCATGCCGAAGGGCGGCGGCGCGTGCGGCGAGGCGTGCGGTGATGCGTGCGGCGAGACGTGCGGGGGCAGCGTGCGCGGCTCGTCCGACGGCGACGGGCGGTAAGGCTGAAAGCCGCTCCGCGTCGGCTCGCGCTCGGCCAGCGGCGACGGCGCCAGGTGGTGGCCGTCAAGCCGGTCCTGGGGGAGGAAATCAGTCAGTCAGCGCGTCGGCCCGTGCGTGAGCCAGGCCAATGGGTTTGGCGTCACTCTTGACTCACCTTGCGGCCGTCCGCACCGCCTAGAGGGGAAGCCAGGGGCTGAGGGCCGCGGGTCTTGGGCGACATCTGCCGGGAAGGCTCCTCCTCACGCTCCCGATCTGCGAGACAAAAGGTCAAAGGTCACAACCGCGGACTGTGGCAGACGCAAGTGCGGTGGCACAGCAAGCAGGAGGCGAGGTCTGCAGAAATAAATAACACCTACCTGCCGGAGACACGGCCTGCTTGGCCAGGTTCCGCAGCGCTGCAGCGAACGAGCGGCTGCCACCGTTGGAGGCGGCCTGCGACGTAGGGGGCTGCACCCCCGCGCCGCCGCCCGCGGCTGCCGCACCCACGGCGCCGGCTCCGGGACCCGGCCCCGGGACGGTGTGGCCGCCCGAGAGCGTCAGCGACGAGGCGCTCCGGGGCTGCTTGGCCGGCGGCAGGGCGGAGGCGGGCACGGGGCTACCAGGGTGTTTGGAGCCGGGCGACAGACCTGCAACACACAAGCGAAGAGCCACGTCAGCACCAGAGGAGACAAACAGCCGGGCCGCTGCTGGACAACAAAAGGACAGACCCGGAGCAGAGGCCGCACGCCCGGTAGGTAGGCAGACCCGGCGCGCACAGCATGGTGCGCGTTGCCTACCTCGCAGGCGTTCACGAGCAGCCCATCGCTAGGCTGGGCTCGCCTCCCACTCGTTCCTCCCCCTCCCCTCCTCGCCCCGGTCCGGGGGGATGCCGGCGGCGTGGTGCATATCACACAGCTCGTTGGGGCGGAGGGCGAGAGCAGGAGGGTGGCGGCCGGGCCATAAGATGGGATGGGCTGCTGCGGCGGCCTCTCTTTCACCGCCCCCGCCCCGCCCCTCGCCAACCCTCCCCGCACCAGTTCCCCTCCGGATATTGACAAGTCGGTCTGAAAGGCGGCGGAGGCCGTGCTGCTGCTAGGCTTTGCATGCCACGCCGTGTGGTCGAGAGAGAGTGTGTGTGAGAGAGAAGGGATGTAAAACGGGGAGAAAGGGAGAGAGCGGGATGATGGCACCGTGCAGGGGTGGAGATGGAGAGGGGTTGAAAGGGACGGAGGAGAGAGCGAGCGAGGAGGCACGTTGGGAGCCCTGATAATAGGATGGCCAGGGCTGGAGCAGCGGGGGCCGTAGCAGAACAGGCGAGGGTCCAAGAGAGGGAGGAGGGGCATCGGCTTGGCTCGGAGCGACGCCGCGCGACAGAGGCCGGGGCCTCGCTTGGCGGGGCAAGAGGGGCTAGAGGTTAACGGCGTGGCCATGGGCCCCGCCCCGCCCGACCCGACCGGCAGGCCATCCCTCAGCCTCGCCCTGGATGGCGGGGGAGGGGCTGCGAGGGGAGGCAGAGGTCGAGGTTCAAGTGCGACCCGGCCAGACCCAGAGCGGGCAAAGGGGTGGGGACGAGGCGCGGGCGGGGCGCGGGCGGGGCGCGGGCAGGGCGAGGTGGTTCAGGCGGGTAGTCGACGAGTAGGCGTTTTCACTGTACCCCAACTCCGGCGCCCGCCCCAGGAGGAGCCGGGGGCTCCAGACCGTGCTCGTGATGAAGACAGCTGCCGTCAAGCAGAAGCTGCCTCGAGTTCGCCCACACTCCCGGCCCCTCCTCGCGAGGGAGGAGAGAGAGAGGGAGAGAGGTGAGGGGTGGGAGGGCGGCGAGAGGGGAGAGGAGCAGCAGAGAGGGGACGCGTCGCACCGCATCTCCCTCTCACCGCTCTCCCCCTGCCCCGGCCCAGGTCCGCTACCCCTCCCCGACCGCCTACCGCGATCGATACAACCACCTCCGCCGCAACAGCACCCCGCCGTGCTGCGCCACGCACCGCCACGCCCCGCCACGCTCCGGCGCGATAGGCCGGCCGGGCACTTCACGGCACGGGCGCGGCGTGGCGGGGCGCGGCTCTGCTCTGCCTGCTCTGGGATTGGAGGGGGCGCTCAAATTTATGCCCACAGTCGGCGGGGCGGGGCGGGGCGGGGCGGGGCTCGTCACTTCACACCCCAGCAGCGCAGCCTCCCCTTCCCAACCCGCAACGCCCCGCCGCGCAGCGCTCGGTTCACACCTTCCCTTTCTCCCTCTCTCTTACTACCACAGCCTGTCTCCCGCTCTCCCTCTCCGCCAGTGAAGCGCCCCACGGCCGCCACGGCGCTACTCACTCGGAACTTATGTACTTTAGACACTGACGCCAGATGGGACCGCCGCCGCCACAGCGCCGCCTCCCCCTTTTACATCCATTTCACCTCAGCGCGAGCGATACATCCTGGAAAACAAAATAAATAAAAACGCGTGCGCGCGACTGCAGAAGAGCAAAAAAAAAAAAAATGAAAAAAAAAATAAAGAGGTGCTGAGGAAAGGGAAGGGGAGCAGCAGAGTGGGGGAGGGTTGGCAGTGTACAGAGAGGGCGCGGCGGGGTGTGGCTGGGTGTGCGGTCGGGTCGCGCAGCCACCGCCGGGGCGGGGCGGGGCGGCAGCCGGACTGGAATGCCAATGAGGGCCGCGGCAGCCAGCACTCCCCGCGCCTCGCCGACCATGGGACACTTTTCCCTCCCCGCAGCAGCAGAAGCGGCAGCAGCGGCAGCAGCGGCAGCCAAAAGCGGGCGAGGAAAAGAGAAGGAAAAAAATATAATAATAATAACAATAAAAGGGCGGATTCGATCTGGTGCTGCCGCCGCTGTCCGTAACGACGCCGCTTATCGGGCCGCAGGGATGAGCTGAGCAGCCGGCGGGTCGGGGCGGGGCGAGGCGGTGGGGACGTAATCCGCGCCGGGCGTGCGGCAGCATGTCTCACCCTCCGCGCCCCCGCCCCGCCACGCCACGCTTCCGGGCCGGGGAGTAGCAGGAAGCCACAACATCTGCCCCAAGGTGGGCGAGGAAAGGAGAAGAGAAACACGATCATGGGGCCGGCCCCGCACCCCGCACCGCAAACTCGCGGGTTCACGACGGGGCTCAGATCCTTTTTCCTTTTGTTTTTTTGTTCTCTCCTTTTTTTGCCCTATGTACTTGCTCTGCCGCCCGCTCGAAATATACAGTAAACTGGCAGCGAGTTAAGATCTGCGGAGCCGGCGGGGAGGAGACGAAGCTTATCAGATTCGCTGTCGGCCACGACGCCCCGCGGGTGACAAGGGGGAGAGCGAGAGAAGAGGAAGGCCCCCCGACGACGACGCGGGCTTCACGACACAACGACCACGGGGTTGCTTCGTTCGTTCCGCGGCGGATGTCGCAGGGACAGGGCGGCAGGGTGGAGGCGGGAGGCGGGAGGGGTGGAGGGCCAAGCGAGGGCGCAAAAGCCCCGGCGCGAGGCATCTTGGCACATCTCACTGGCGGCGGCCGCGCCGCAGCCTCCGCCCGCAACAGTTTACGTATCGGCAAAGCGATGAAAGTCCCCTCCCTCCCTCTCCTTTCTACCCTCGCCCTCCTCCCCCTTTGTCTCTCCTCATCGGAGTGGCTGCGGCTAACGGGGGAGAAAATGGAAGCCAAGAGGAGAAGGACGTGGCGAGGCGGCGTCGAGGCGCGCGGGTGGGGGTGGCGGCACCGAGGGAGGAGAGCTGGCGACACACTTGCGTGCCGCTGCTGCTCCGCTGCTGGTGGCAGCGCCGGCTGAATTTGTCATACACCAACATGCTGAATTTGTCATGCCAAGACGCCCGCCCTCTCGTGTGTCTTCCTCCGCACCCGAACACAGGCGCCGCCGCTGCCAGCATCGATCGGCGAGAGCACCGCCACCGCTGCGCTCCGCGCCCCACCGCGGCCGCGCGTCCCTTGGCGCAGAGGAGCAGCAAGCTGTGCGCCGCGCCGCCACGCCCCGAGGGACACGAGATGACGAGGCGCACACAGGGGCCGCGACGACGTGACTTGGTAACGACATGTCACCCGTACACGTCCGCCACGAGACGCGCCCCGCGTGACACGGGCGACGAGAGGGGCGCGCACACACAGACACACCGCACCGCCCCTCCCAGCCCCCCTCTCATTCGCTCTCACTCACATGACCCGGTGAACTCTCGCCCCCCCCCCCCTTCTTTCTCTCTCTTCGCGCTTGAGCTCCCCGCCGCGCCCCAGCTCTTCCTGTTTGGGAGTTTATTTTGGTAGAATGCACCGCCGGCACCACCAGCGGCGCACGCGCGGGCCGATCCGAAGCGATGGGCCGCCGGCTCGGGGAGGTCGCGGTCGCGCTGGCCAGCCTTGCCAGCAAGGAGGCAGAGCCCAGCACGGGTTCGACCTCGGGTTCCACACTTATCATATTAGTACGTCTCCAGAGTAGGCTTGTCTTATTACAAAGAAATAAAATACAAACACGGGTAGAACGGCAAAACTTTACACCGCAGGGGGTATACTTCTTCGCGCCAAACGGGGGAAAAACAAAATAATTCAGTCACAGCGGTGCGCACCCGGCGCTAACTGTACAGGGAAATGTCGTGCACGTCACGTCAGCCGTGGGCACGGCCCGGGCGAGGCGAGGCGGGGGCGCGCGGTTCGAGGGGAGGGTGCGCGACACCTGGCCGCCGCCGGGGCGGGGAGGGTGGCGGGGCGCGGAGCGAGCGATTACGCTGCTCGCCTCACGGTGCGGCACGGCGGGCGGGCGAGCGGGCCAGGCGACACGACGATCGGTCACGGTCACGCAATCGAATCAAGCCCATTCGCCACGCCACCTCCTAAAAGACCGTTTGCCCCGAGGCCAGAGCGCTGGCCGCGGCCGCTGTGTGCCTCCCGCCCGTTTCCAGTAGGACACGTCGTCGGTCCCCCGTAAAAAGGTTTACCTCGGCGCGCAAGCGGTGGGAAAGCTCAGAGTTGGTAAAGCTCGGCCACTTCAGCAGCCGGCGTGCCGCCACGCCGCGAGGCGGCCGAGCGCGGGGGTGACTGCCCTTCGGCTGCTCAGCTACATCGGGCCAAATCGATTTCTGACCCGGCGCGACCCGGCCGTCGGCGCGGCGGGCGGAACAGGCACGGCGCGCCGCGGCGGGGAGACGCCCTTGCAGCGCACACCTCCGGCGTGCCTGTCTTCGCGTGTCAGTGGTTTCCTACCGGGGGGCCCTGCCCGCCCTGCCCGAGTAGGGAAGGGCGCGCAGCAGGCCACACGAACAACACGACACGGCCCTGCAGAGAGGGGCGGGGCCGGGCGGTGCAGCGCAGTTTAAAAAGGAAGAAAGGAAAGAAACGACGCTGTAGAAGGCTTCTTGCACCTCCTGACCACCGGCGGCGGGGAGGTGGACGACGCCGCGCCCCTACCCCGACCTGCCTCAGGGAGCCCGGCGTAAGACGAGTAGAGTCCCGGCTTAGAGGGGCTGGCAGGGCCACGCCACGACCCCTGAGGGCCACGCTGATACTCACCCAGGGCCGGGTTGGCGAAGTACAGTCCAGCGTAGGCCGGGTGTCCGAGCGGAGATCCGAGCGGCGGCGGCAGCGGGGGCCCCAGGCCGCGAAACGCGTCCGCCGTCGCGCCCGCCCCCGACAGCGCCCCCGAGAGCGCGCCCGACAGCGCGGCCGGCGAGTA